TGTGTGTGTGTGTGTGTGTGTGTGTGTGTTGTGGGGGGGGTTAAAAGTTTTCTTATTTTGATAAAGAAACAAAAGCTGAGTGTCTTTAGGAGGGAGGGGGGCTCAGCTTAATTGACTTAGACATAAGAAAGGGGGCTTTAAGAAGGTTGGGAACCACTAAACTAAATGCATTATTAGAGCAGGGGTGGGCAATGCTGGTCCTCRTGGGCCAGGATTGCCCACCCCTGTCAGTGTGRTACCTGTTCCTCTGAYTCAACACATCTGATTCAGTCATTGAATTCTCTCCTCAAGTTCTGCTTCAGCTTGGTAAGCCAACATGCAGGATAGAGACCCTCAGGGACTGCCTACCCCTGCCTTAGAGGTACTATAGGCCTTTAATTGTTTGTTGATTAAACAAATCTTTATTTTATTCTTTCTGTCTTTAATGAAGATAGTCATTAAATGGGCCCAACACCGAGGCTCGGTTTGGACCCATTCATTGTGCCMCTAGTTGACTCTTACCTCTGCGTAAACAAAGAGCGGCAGGACGAGCACCGCCAGCAGCAGATCTGCAAATGCCAGACTCACTATGAAGTAGTTAGTTGTAGTTTTTAAAGCCTTCTCCATGTAAACACTGAGGCACACGAGTACGTTCCCACCCGTGACAAAAAAAATCAGTAAAACTCCGAATATGAGCGCCGGGATGTTGAAATGTTCCGCTTCAACAACCACCTGCAGCTGCGTGGCGTTAAAACCCGTCCAGCTGTCTGTCATGGTTCCTGCTGGTGCTCCAGACCCATGGGCTGCTTGTCCGACCAGGAACCGCTTTGTTCAGAGGGGGTTTCATCTATGATACCCAGATCCATTAGTTTCATTAACAGCACGAGGGTTGTGAGTCTGAGAGCAACTGTGAAGATGCTCTGTGATCCCGGTGTGCTCCGCTCTCTGTGCRTAAAAAGGGAACCAGGCTTCATCCGACCGGATCCAAACCAGTTTCCTTTGCATTCCCTCCACTGACAGAACTCCTGTAACACAATGTGAACCGGGTTCCTCCAACCTGATCAGGAACAGGGGACGAATCAGAAGGCGAGAGCAAATCCGCAAATCTTCTTAGAGGATCTCTGGCTGCAAGACCAAGCAGCAGGGTTCAACAACAAACATGTCAGCGGTGGGCTGCAAATACACAAAACATTCACCTGGACCGGGTCGGACAGTGCCATAAAGACTCAAGTGTTATAAACACAAAAATAAACAATAAAAAACAACAAAACACAGAAACACYCCAATATATACAAACAGAAAAACAGACACAGGAAAATAAAACCTAATGAACTAAAATATGTCAGTCAGTATTTTGCTCTCTGTAAGGCATGCAGTTAATAAAAATATAAAGTAGTAATAAGTTGTAAAGTTTAGCATCAAGAAATGTCACTGGGTAATTTGATACATCTATGAACACAGGCACCCCGCTACAGAGCTGCTAATAAGTTAAAAAAAATAAAATAAAAAAAAAATTGTCCCACCAAAAAAAAAACATTAAAAATTCAATTTTAATTCGTCAAAATAGTTATAAAAACCACGCAAAACAAACTAACACACATCARTCTAAGTTATTGTTGCTTTTCTTTCAGCTGCACCCTTCTTCAGGGAGCCGTTCTTTCTTGTGAGTTCACAGGCATGAATGGTTTGAAAATTATTTTACACTGGTTGCCCTTCTTAAGSATGTAACTTTAGGAGGGGTGTATTGACTGGATCAAATTATTATRGGGTCATAACCCCCTAACACCCTGTAAATTACACCCATGACCCTTACTGACACAACAGGATTATGAGATCCCACTGAGATCAGTACWAACAGCAGCAGCCCCAAACCTCAGCAAGCTTCAAGTAATTTGTAATTAGAAGTCATTTGCATTATTTGCTATAAGAAACATGTGAGGTGTAAATGCTTTTTGTTTTTCTTAGGTGGACCTAGACCTAATCTTTTGGACCGGCTGCACCTCTTACATATGTTGAGGATGGCTGTTGGCTACTACCACAACAAATTGTTTCTCTGTAGGCCAACTGCACCAAYGCTCTCCTACTGTAATGTGTAGTTCAGGGGAGCAGTCATGATCAAAGGTCTGTTCTCCTTAAAGGGACCCCAGATTAGTTGTAACATAAGACTTTATTTAATAAACATATATTTTAACTGTAAAATAAATATTGTAAAAATACTGTAAGATGTTTAGTTTTTTTAATTTTTAAACTAAAAGTTTAAAAATATAGTACAAGGACGGGGCCATTTTATTTACATGCAAAGCATTCTGGGTAAATGATGACATCAACTAGGTCATCGGTGCGAGGCTGCTAGTGAGCTATATCCACCCTGAAGGTTAATCTTGGACAATATCTGATGATCGACTCTTAAATGAAACCAGAGAGCGTTGACAGAGAGGAGAAGGTAGAAATGACTCAGTCTGTAACTGAAAATATGGATGGAGGACCTCAGTTTAGCTTGTTTGTCGCGCTAGCACTGAGCTAATACATATAAGGCAATATAGCGTCAGTGCTAGCACAAAGGCTAACAGGCTAAGCTGAGGTTCTTCTTCCATGAAGCAGCTCTGTTGTCCTCCATCCATATTTTCAGTTACAGGCTGAGTCATTTCTACCTTCTCCTCTCTGTCAACGCTCTCTGGTTTCATTTAAAAGAGTCGATCATCAGATATTGTCCAAGATTAACCTTCAGAGTGGATATAGCTCGCTAGCAGCCTCGCATCGATGACCTACTCAAGTCATCATTTACCCAGAATGCTTTGCATGTAAATAAAATGGCTTCATCCGTGTTAAAATATATTTTTAAAAATGTACAAAACTAAATATCCTACAGTATTTTTACAGTCTTTATTTTACAGTTAAACTAAATGTTTATCAAATAAAGTCTAATGTTACAACTAATCAGGGATCCCTTTAACTTTYCCTTGTGCYCAAGCCTGTCGGAGGATGTTTTCCTTAACAGAATATYCCAAAAACCTCACAATCAGTGAGCGTGGAGTAGCTGTSGAGCAGTGAGCGCACGATGAGCCCTCTCAGTGCTAGTGTTGAGTTCAGGTGGAAGTTGGAGAGCATTTTGGAGTAGCTCCTTAACAAAAGCTTGAACATCCCATCTGTCCCATTCCTCGGTGCTTGATATGTTCCTGATATGTTTTTAAATTGTTCCACCTCAGCCTGTTTGCACATTGTCACATTTGTCTGTCAGGTTCATCTCTCTGAAGAAGGTATTGAAGCGCTCGTTCATGGTAGTGTCTTTATTAGTCCTGTTTTTGAATGTCATTAGCTTGTCTCCTCTCTCTTTAACAGATGTCTCCAGTCTTGCCAGATAAAGCTTGCTTTGAGAGTAGTTTTTCTAGCTTCGTCATTATATTACACTGGGTCACGTGCATTAGCTTCTGCAGCTACACTCGTTTGCATCAGTTAGCTGTTTCAAGTTCTCACTTTTGTCCTTGTTGTGGTTGTTTGTTTGTTTGTTTGTGACCTTGCTTCTGACAGATGATGCCATATTGTTCTGAATAAAATCACAGTTTTGCGGTTGTTAGGAAATTACATTTAGCTGATGGAATCCTCTCTCTATGCTGTTGCTGCAGCATGACATCACCAGAACTCAGCCTTTTTAAGACGTATTGGGCTGAAATTTGTTGTGGTGATAGCCGAGAACAATCCTTGTCACATACTGAGTCCAAATCAAAGATTCAAGATGGCTGCTATAAGTAAACAGAAGAATTGACCAAAGCTCAGTTATTTTTAGCCATATTGTGGGGAAATTTGGAATGGTTGTTGATCACAGTGATGTGATGTGGACGTCACCCTTTCATAGTTACAGGAATTCTTCTAGTTAACTTTATTGATTTAGGTCCACAGCATGATCTTTAGTAACAGCAGATTTTCACAATAAGAGAGTGATTAAACCAGTTTTAAATCTGACCTGAAAAATTCTTCAGAATGTCAGAAACATTTCCAGCTACCAACGTTCTTTTGTTGGATTCCTACTAGAATGCACCAGGGCCTCCAGTGCAGACTGAGCCGTGCTGGTAAAAAAGATGCAAGTATTTTAGTGGGAGGCTGCGAGTCCACTGCTGCAATCTGAGGCTGTGAGATGAAGTCACAAACACTGCAACTGTAGTCGACTCCCACTCTCCGGCCAGCACAGACATGCCTTTATGTGGCTGAGTACCAGCTGGTACCACGGGCTCCTCATCTTTGTTGGGACTTCATTTGTTGATGCCCCTGAAATCAGGACATGGAACTAAAATCGAAGAGCAAACCTGTGGACGTTCTTCTTGGATGTGTTGCTGCCGTCTGCTTTTGTACAGTTTGTTGGGCTCAAAGACGTGAGTGGAGCTTTGATTTGTTTGTTTGGTGTCAAGGTCGTCTGTCACTTTGCCTCTTCGCACTTTTACAAAGTATTTTCTGTTTAGATTTGATCTCAGTGGTCAGAAGATTTCACAACAAAAGTTCTGCTTTTATCTCTTTGATTCCAGTTTGGTTTCTAAATTATCCATCCATCCATTTTCTGTACACGCTCCTTCCTTTTTACAGGGTTGCGTGGTGATTTCTAGATTCGATTAAACCAATTAGATTTCTAGGAATTTTAATAAAATGTTTTTTTCAAATAATGAGAACTGATTAGTCGAATGTTTTGTTTATCCAGAGGACATGGACATGTGTTAACAAACAGAAATAAAGAAATGATAAATCCTTGATGATGTGATTTCACATCACGACTCTCAGTCAGCCTGTTGATGTCTTTGTGTTGTTTTTGTTGCTTCAGAGTAGAACTAGTTGTTTGTTCCAGTGAGTTGAATTTTTTTCAGTGTTAAAATCCTCAAATAAAATTTTTATAAGAGGTATTGTAGCTTTTTGCTTATATAATACTGCATGCCCAAGGATCAGCTGAGTTTATATGAATCAAGATCAGCACATAGTGACTGTTTTTCAGAGGTGAACTTATTGTTCTTAGTTTCTGACTTTAGAAATAAACCAACCCCTCAGAACAAATTAGCTCTTTGACTACAATATTAAAATGTAATATTTTGATAATACAATATTTCCCCACCTTGGTTCCCTGAGCCCCCTGAAGAAAATCTTTAGATTTTATACGACACAGGTTTAACATCAGCTGTTTTCCTTGTAGTTTTTGTTTGGTGCAGGAGAAGTGAAGGTATGAGAGAAAATGTTTTCTCATAGCTATAAGTTTTAACAGGTGAAGTACAGAGTGACTCCTTAAACCTGCAACTGAGCAACAATTGACTGTCAGAGACAATGCATGCTTATGATGGCTGTTTACAGTGAAATCAATAATTAACATTTACTGCTTTGTTTACATATTGCATTATTTCCACCTAATTTATAAAAACATGTTTTTTTCCTTACCTGGGGTCAGAGGAACAGAATTTGAGCTGGTGATTTGAACTGTTTTAAAGGACGTGCATGTTATTCWCCCTTCTAATTACTCTTTAAACATTGTTTCCTCTCATTTGTTTGGATGTTTTTTACATTGTTCCAATAATTGTCCTTTTCATCAGGCTGTCCTGTGCAGCCTCTCATAAAGAAGAAAAACCTCAACCCTAGTTCTTTCAAACTACAGACCTATATTTAAAMTGCTTTTTTTGTCAAAAGTTTTAGAGGCAGTTGTTTTTTTTTTTTTCAGCTCTAGAGAGATTTATCTGCCAACAACACTGGTGAAATATTTCTGTCAGGTTTTAAACCAGGCTGCAGCACAGAGATGGCCTTTTAAGAGTTTTCAAAGAATTTTTTATAACAGTTGATTCAGGCAGCTCTGCTGTTTTACTGATTTTAGACCTCGCTGCTGCCCTTGATACTGTGGAGAATAATGTTTTTTTGTCACATCTTGAGCTGGTTGTATCAAAGGCACAGTTTTATCTTGTTTGGTGATTCTTCCTCCTCTGCAGCTCTTCTGATTTGTGGGGTCCCACAAGGGTCTTTTTTAAAGTCCACTCCTTTTTAACTCTATTTGCTGTCTTGATATTCAGATTTATATGCCCATCAAGTTAGTCAGGGCCTCTCCACTGTAAACACTCTTCAGTTGTCTAAATTCTATAAAAATATGGTTGAAGTTAAACTTCCTGAAAGTAAGACTGAAATCATCAGTTTTGGTAAAACTAACTCATGATGACCTTCTTGGCCCTTTAGCTTCATACAGACACTCTGCTGTCAGGACAAAAASATAAACACAGATGTAAAATACAGATTTTTCTCAAATTAAGATGGATTGCCAGAGTGAATTCATAAAGACCATGAAGAAGTGATTCATGCTTTTATTACCTCTCGTTTGGATTATTGTTATGTATGCTGGCTTGGATAAATCATCTCGGCATCGTTCACAAATTGTCCAGAACTCTGCWGCTCATCTTTTACCAGGTACTAAAAGCATGAACACATAACCTTGGTCCTGGCTTCTCTCCACTGGCAAACTGATTTTATGATTTTACTGTTGGCTTTTTAAGTTTTTGATGGTCTGACTCCATCATATTTACCTGATCTTCTTAACATCTACACTCCTGTCAGAAAACTCTGGTCTACYAACCAGTTTCTCTTACATGCTCATWGATCCAACATGAAATCCAGAGATGATCAAGCTTTTGCAGTTATTGCTCCAAAACTGTGGAAAAGTTGATCTCATTTTATTAGGTCCGCCAAGACTGTTGAAGTTTTTAAATCTTTTTCAATTCAATTCAACTCAGTTATGTAGGACCAAGTCACAACATACATTGTCTCAGGGCACTTTACATGAAAAAAGAACAATCTGAAGAAGGACTGGTCCAGGTGCACCTTCCTCTGGAAAAGAGACGAAGAAAAAACACGTTATTGATAGAAATAATTACAATAAACATGTAGAGAATAGAGACCAAAGACAACAGCAGAGTGAGGAAATGTGCTCAGTTTGTGCTCCAGCAGTCTAAGTCTGTAGCAGCAGAAATGAAGAATAATTCAGGAAACCTAAGTTTAAATATAGGATTTATCAAAAAGGAAAGTCTTCAGTCTAATGTTAAAAGTAGACAGAGTGTCAGCCTCACCGACAGAAACTGGAAGTTGGTTCCACAAGAGAGGAGCTTGATAACTGATAATTTAAATTTAGCATTTGGTAAAAATGAGTTCAATGTAAGAACAGTGAGCTAAATAATAATAGAATATTAGTGGACATTTTTAAACACTCAGAAAGTGAACTAAATAATAAAAAATGGGTTTGTGCTATTTTTTAACATTTCATTTTACACTTGGTGACCCATACATACCCCTTTGAACATTTTCCTGTAAATCGTCTGTACATAATCCATGTAGTTTACAGACAATCTTTACAACTTGTATTAACTACAGTAGTTATGTAACACAATATAGATAACTTGATTAAATGATTCTATTACATCAAGTCATCATATACCCAATGTGGATCGATATATTGATCGTAGACTTGTGAATTGAATTGTATCATGACAGACTTATCATCATCCAAACAAATCAATATAATGTTGTATTGTGATAAACCTGGGTATTTACACCTGCATTAACCTGTGATATTTGATGTAAAGTTAAAAGAATGAGATTAATATGTACAAAGGAATGTTAAATAATAGTACGAGACACTGATTTCCTATCAGTGACTATCAACTGATCAGAAACAAACAGATTAAATAAGCTTCACTTCTCACCTGGTCAGGACCAAGTTGGTTTCAGAGGTATAGTTAACCATAGAAACATGTGCTTCCTCTTTTGTGCAACCAAATCAAAGATCAGTTCAATTAAAATGACACAAAAATCATTGTTTGATCATACTTTTGTACAACAGGCCTCTGGTAAAGATATAAACAGAACCAGAACAACAACAACAGAGCAAAAGGCTGGCGTGGCAGCAGAACCTGCAGACTGTGGCTGGGGAATGGAGGGATAAACACAAGAATAACCAGACGTGGCATGAATAAGGCACAATGCTAAACTGTTCTGGAGTGAAAACTGAGAAGGACTGCATCTGTTGATGGCGTGGCAGGCTGACTGAGGGAGCAGTGGGAGGTGGCACAGAGGCAAACTCAAAGACTGACCGTATAAGAACACAAGTTACAGAACTAAACTCTGTCAGAACATACAGAAAATAAAACACAATTTACAAATAGAAATCAACTTTATAATGAAACAGAAGGAAACTACCATAAAATAACCAAAAACACAGACCATGACAAGGGTCAAGATTTGAAATGAGTAAACAACTTGTTTATGTATCATCTCTGTTGTTCTCTGAATAAATTGTGGTATTTGTTTCTGTTCCTCCTGCAGTCTGCACAGTGCCTCCTGGTCCTGTAACCATACCAGAAAACAACACAGTGGACATCCAGGTGGTAAAAATCATCTCCAGCAGCGATGTGAGTCTGAAGGTCACAGTGAACCCAGAGGACCTGTTCTATATTAAAGGAAACATCCTGATGGTGAAGAGAGGTCTGGATTATGAGGTAATTCAGCTCAATCCCAGCTGATACCAACAAACTGTGGACGTCAGACTCCCAAACCCCTGTGACCCCCCGAGTCATGTCAGGATATCTTGATGTGTAAATTAAATATCATGAGGGTCAGTTTACAGGCAGTGTGTTTAATATGCCATTGTTAACTAAAAAAACTAGCTAAACACTAACTAAAAAAGACCAAAAAAGCCCTGAAAGAGTCATACAGTGTATTTTTATAAAACAGCAAACAAAGATGCAACAAATGTTTGATACGTGTTAATCTACAATAATATTATACATTCACTAACCAACCTATCAGGTACTCTGTAACACTGAACGGTCTTACCAGCCTGAAAAATCACTTCAAAACACAGCATTGATGTCAATCCCCCACCAGGACAAACAGTGGTCAGAGTGTGGGAAAAACAGACAAACACAAGAATCGTTTCTCTTTTTGTTTCTGTATTTAGTGCATTCATCTCCAACTTTCAAGCCAAGAAAATTAAGTTTGAATTTTTTTGTAATCTTTCATTGTGGTGTGGGAAAAACAACTTTAATTATCTTTTTCTGTATAATTTTCTTATTTCAAAGTTTAATAATAGGATTTTTAGTGAGGGTTTTCTTTTTACTTGCCGTGTTGTATAAAGTACCACAAAGTGATAATTGAGTAAAAGTACAAGTATCTTACCAGAAAATTACTTTGGTAAAGGTTAAAGTCTTCTTTAGGAATATTACTTAAGTAAAAGTATTAAAGTATCTGATATTTTTTGTACTTAAAGGGCCAGTATTATGTGTTTCTCAGGCATACATTTAAATACTATACCATAATAAAGTATCTATGTCACCTTTAGTTGTTATTAAAATGCAAWTTTTCTCTTTAAATAGAAAATAAACTTATCTTCTCATCACTTCCTCTTCTAAACGCCTTGAAATTGGCCTCTGTCTCTTTAAGAACCACCTTCCGCTTCTGTCTCACCCATTTCAGTGCGGGGGGGGTGCTTCGTGCTCGCGAGGGGGGTGGGGGCTGCTATGATGCAGTTTACTTGGCATCTGAAAATACATTTTCTCAAAGGTATTTTTAATCTGAAAAGAGCTTCACAGACTGAAAACGGATCTTAGGAGCTCCGCAGACAGTTTAAGTTTCACGTTCAGTTTCACCCGAGAGCCTGCAGGAGTCATGGGCGGGGTGTGTGGGGAGGGGGGTGGGGAGGTCTGCTCTGCCATGAGGAAGCTCGGCTTAAAGACACGTCCCAGGGGCGTTTCTGGTCTCCACCTGTTGTTTTGCTCCTCAGCATGTCTTCCTAAAAAAGCTGCAGGATTTCTCAAACATGCATGAATGAGTCAAAGCAAGGCTTTGGGCATGTTTTTTTATGAGAGTATAATATTATAACATGATATAAAACTCAAAAAAGTGGATTTTACATGATATGCCCCTTTACGTATTAAAAGTAAAAGTATTGATTTAAAATAAAAATCTTAATCTTAATATTAAAATCTGTAATGACATTTATTAGGAGGTGACCTCACAAAAAAACTGCAGAAATGACTGTTGTATTAAAATAGTTAATTTATGTTAAATTTAGGATGTCTATCCGTTTCAGTTTATATACATATATCAAGGCTGCACAAACCTTTTCCCCAAAATGACAGTCTATCTGAGGGCTGCGGCCAAATGCAATAATATAATTCATGAAATACAAATACTTCTTAAGTACAGTCCTTGTTTTTAAATGGTTATGTGCTGCTGGAGTTAAATTCACTCCATCTAGGAGGCACAGTTTATATGGATAGTATTTATTTTTTACAATAACAAGCTGGAATGAAAACAAGCAAAAATTAAATATAAGTAATGACTTTCTACTTCTTRCCTTTTTAAAAAATGTAAGAAGTAGAAGTAAAAAGTAGGCTGAAAAATAATTGTTCAAGTAAAGTACAGATACACAAAAATTCTACTGAAGTACAGTAACAAAGTATTTGTACTTACCGGTAGTTACTTTACAACTCTGGTTGATAGACGGTAAAGCATAAGAAATAAATGTTAAGTCTGTCTAAATTTAATATTTTTAATTTATTTGTTAGTTTATAAATCTTTTAAATGCTATATAAACCACAATGTTTACATAGCTGAGTCTAAATGTTGTAACTCACTGCACTGACTCTTGTCACCAAGCAGTTTCATATAGCATATTTCATGTTGTTGGTCTATATTAGGCAACACAGACATAGAGTAAATATTAATCAACCCATCAGAGAGCCTTTGGCTGCTGATAAGAAATATATAAATATGCACAGCATACAAGCTGTGTCTGGAATAAATCTAACATTATAGGACAGACGGTGAATCTGTGCTCTGTCCTAATTTTTATTTAAGCGCCTGCCCTTCAAAGTATCTATACACACCACTGCTTATCTCAGTATGCTTCATATATATATATTTTAATTTTAACTGTGTCTTTATTATGATGTGTGTGATTTTCCAGTCTTTGCTCAGTCCGACTCTGGTGGTGTGGGTGAAGTGTACCCGAGCTGGCTCCAGATCTGTGAGTATTAATGAGTAAAGAAGATGTTAAAGAACTGGAGAACAAGGATTCAAACTGCACGCACATATTTCATATATTTTTTCCTTCAAACTGATCTTTTTTTTCTGTCATTGCTCATCTCTCCTCCAGGTGAACGAGTCTGTAGAGGTTTTGGTTGAGAATGTGAACGATAACCCACCAAACTTTGCTCAGAACCACTACGCTCTGGATGTGAATGAGGTGAATGGAGTTGTTCTTCCACATTTTGCAGAGATGTGTGCATTAATGTCTAGYTTTAACTGTTCGAGTTGTTTTTCCTGCAGCTCAGTCCTGTTAACTCCAGCATCAGACTGATTGAAGCAACAGATGTTGATTCAGAGCTGCTGTTTTATCGCCTAGAGCCTGCAACAGTAAGAATCCACTGATTATTCTTTATCGCCCGACGCCAAGATGAAGGAACGATAACGTGTTTGTGCCGAGTCTGTATGTGTGCATGAGTGTTTGTTTCTCATGTTATCTCACAAACTGGAAGATGACTTTTAAGATGTCAGGAAAAAATCACTGGGTGTGCACGTACATGTGTGTGTTCAAGCTAATTCCAGATGGACACCAGCTGACCTCATGAAAGAAAAGGCTTAGCTTTACAGATATTGAGCTAATATTTGCCTGAACATCATTCAACACATGCAGCTGTGGATGAGTGTTTAGGGGAGTGTCGTAATTGTGGCAGGAAGAATAAACCCAGGTTGCAGTCTGGCTCAAGAAGGTCAAACAAAAGTATTTATTAAGTAACAAAAACTGCTGTAAGGACAGCTTTACTTACAAAAAATCACGGAGGTCACAGGCACGAGGGAACAGGAAACAGCAAACAAAATGATCCGAC